TGTGGACTGGTGTGGGCAGTGAAGCAAGAGGTGAAGATTGACACTAGAGGTGCAGGGTCCAGGCCTAGGGTCAAGCTAAGGAGTGTAGAATCCGCTATGCAAAAGGCCAGTGAGGAGTTCCAAGCAGAGTGCTGAGGGCATGAAGGTGCTGAATGAGTGGATGGGCAGCTTAGCTGGTATATCACCCAAGAACGGACTGACCCTGGACAATCCAGTGCACAGACCCCCAAGATTTTGAATGGCAACTGAGTCAGGGACTTAGCGCCCTGAGAGGTCATCATAGGCATTTTCTTGGTCCTGGAGTGCAGCTGTCTTTCCATCTCCTCCCCATCCTCCTGTCTCCTCTGGCTCTGCCCAGGTCCCTCCTGTTTCACTATCCTTTTCAGTGAAGAACCTAGTCTGGCTCATGACTGGAGGAGACTGGCCAGAGCGAGACACTGGGAACTGGCAGTTGAGCAAGCTGGATTGGAGCTAGAGCAGGGAAGGAGTTAGAACCACACAGGGTGGGGATAGGAGAGCCGTATAAGTAGGGTGGTTTCCTCTTGCCCAGGCCTTAGCACATGCAATTCCTTCTGTCCAGAACATTTTGCCCACCTTCCTTTGGCTCAGCAGCTCTCCATTCTTCAGGTCTGTTCAGCTCACACCTTCCAGGAACGCTTGCTCACTTTCCCTGCCCAGGCTAATGCCTCAGCTATGTGCTGGGACATCTGGTTTGTAATTGCCAGTTGATGTGACTGTTCCTCCCAGCTGGTGAGAGTTCTGTGTGGCGGGCATTGTCTCATTGATCTTTGTATCCCAGTACCTAGGCCCATGCTAGACTTTCAATTCATAAATATTAACTGAATGGATAGGGGGATAGGATGGCCAGATAGAAGGGTAGATGGAAGGAAGCAGGGAGGGAGGGAAGCACCAGTAAGATGGGTGTGTGAGTTCTAGGAGATTCTCGAGGCAGGAGGCTGGTTGCTATGACTTTCTTTGCCTGTCTCCTTCTGTGAGGAACTTAACCAGTTCTGTGGGAGAAGGGGCAGGAGGCCACTGGGCAGCTCCCTCCTACCCTCCCCCACTTCTGAGTATGATTTGTAATCTCACTCAGGCTATGTGACTCATGGTAAATCACCTGCCCTTTCTGGGTCTTAACCATCCCATTTATAAAATCTGGGGCTCAACATAGATGTCTCTTCAAATCTAAAAGCCCCAATTTTGGTGCAATATTTAAAAATGCTTCATGGGTACCACAATAGAGTACACTTTGTATTTCACACACACAAAAAAAAATCAAATAGTGCCTAACTATGCAAATAAAAAAAGGTTGATCATGTTGTGCTTTATATTATAAACTAGAGGCCCAGTGCATGAAATTCATGCATGGGGTGAGGGGTGTCCCTCAGCCCAGACTGCACAGTCTCTTATCTGGGACCCCTCGAGGGATGCCCGACTGCCCTCTCACAATCCAGGACTGCTGGCTCCCAACCTCTCACCTGCCTGCCTGCCTGATTGCCCCTACCTGCTTTTGCCTGTCAGCCTGACCAACGCCTAACTGCTCCCGTGCCAGCCCAATTGCCCCAACTGCCATTCCCTGCAGGCCTGGTCCCCGCCCCCCCCCCCCTCAACTGTCCTCCCCTGCTGGCCATCTTGTGTCCACATGGGAGCAGCAATCTTGTGTGTTGGAGTGAGTCAATTTGCATATTACCCTTTTATTAGACAGGATAGTGCAGTTTCAAATATGCTCTTGAAAAAATATTTATACCCATTAAGGGTATTGGATGGTCAGTCTGTAACATTTAGCCTTCTTGCTAAAAATGCTTCTACTCAGCAGCCACAGCTCTGTACCCTCAGACCTTCCCCATAGACCCTACAATGACAGAACAGGCAGGCTGAGGCTCCAGCAGCTAAAAATGAAGGATGTCCCCAACACCACTTGCTTAAGTCAAGGGGCTGTATTGTCTCTCCCCACCCTCAACTGTGACTTCAATGGTGGAGACTGTATCTTGGTCATCTCCCCATCCTGGACCATGCCCAAGGAATCTTGGTAGACAGTCTTTCAGAGAATACCTCTTCTCAGAAATGGAGTAACTCTGGCCTTCACTTTCAGTAAGATAAGCATTCACTGAAAGTTTTTCCTCTTCCGCCCACTAGGGCTGGCCAGCTCTGACTCCAACCCTATCCTGGCACCCTGGGGCAACCGCCAGGCCAGTCCTGGGCACACACAGAATCTCCTGGTTGGAGCCTGCCATCTGCCCTCAGCTGCAATGTATGGGTCTGGACAAATGAATATGGCCCAAAGAGATGCCATTTTACTAGCATGTCAACCGACAGAGCTGTAAGCTGAATTGCAGCTCAACTTCTCTAAAAGCTCGAGGGACATGCTCTCTCCAGCTGAATGACCGAGTGCAGCCCAGCTGTCCTTCTAGACTTAGAATGATCAGTCCCTTTAAAAAAAATTTTGTTCTTGTGTGAAATAACAGCAGCCAATTGTTTGTACTGATGTATGACTTTGAGAGAGAAAGCAGTTGGAAACCTTTAGCCCACAGTTCTGGGAGACTTTGCCAATGGGGGCAGGAAATCCAAGAGCCTGGAAACTACTCCAGCCCTGACCTGCTCTCTGGTTCACTGACCGCACTCCTTTCTGCCCCTTCTGCAAGTCCCTCCAAAGCCTTCAAAGCACACCTTGGTGACTGAGGGATTGAAGGTTTCTCCTCCTCCCTCCCAAAACACCTAAATTTGTTAAGCTTTAAAAAAATGATCTAGGTTTTCAGGGTCTAGATGTTCATGGACACTCTGCAATTTCAATTGCAGTTCATATTTTTTCCAGTTTTGCACTGGCAGCTATAGAAAACTTTGGTGTAACCTACTATATAGCCTTCCCCTCAGGGAGCTTTGTCCTGCCCACCTACCTGCAGGAAATCCCTGCTCCCACCCCGTTCCCTGGGGCTTACACTGGGGGGCGTGGGGATGTATATTGAAAGCACCCTCTTCCACCATCCTGCACAGTCAGCATGGGGACTTTGAAATAAGAGCTCATGTTTACAATGACAAAGGCAATCACCCAGGATTCAAACTTGAGGGTGACAGTGGCCCAGTTCTCTTCTGACAAACTATGTGTAGAGAGAGGTTGGGGGGCAATTAAAACGCAACAATAAAGCCAACCTTTAAATAGTAACTTTTAAAAATATAAAAACAGCTCATTACAATTACTTTTCATTTTCTTCTTTCTCAGGAATCAACTTCTACCCTCATCCTCCCTTGTGGCTACAGCCTTAACAACAGTGGCAGATGAACATCTGAGACAGAGACAGAGAGAGACAGAGACAGAGAAATAGAGACACAGAGAGAGACAGATTCTAGCCACCACTCCCCAACCTCAGAAAGATAATGGGCGCCTGGCCAGCCTCCATGGCCTCCTCATCACATCACGGGAGCTGCTGGCCCAGGAGCAAGATCACTGAATAGAGGCAGTTTTCACCAGAGCTCCTCCTTCCTTCCCACCAGACAGAATTACACATTATAAAATAAGCCATAAAAATGCAGTATAAAAATTATCTTCCATACACTTACATCCATGGAGAGCCCACCACCAGGACTCAAAGGGCCTTTAGCTTTTCCTTAAAAGGAGGAAAAAAGAAAAAAAACAGCCAAACTCCTTGGAACGTTTTGGTAACAAAAAGTGGGTACTTGCAAGAGACAATATTCTACTGGTGGGTACTTGCAAGAGACAATATTCTACTTGTAACCTGTTTGGGCTTAAGAGACTGAAAGCTGCAAAAATCACTAGGGTGCCATGACATCGGTGCCCCCCTAGTGTCCTCAGCCCCTGTAGCCCTGCCAGACTCAATCCCGCAGATTAAATACACTTTCCCTTGGGGATGGAGGAGGGAGGGGTCACAGGCAGGAAAGGGGAGAAGGCATTTTATAAAAGGACGTCACTTCTAACTCTTTATTCAAATTTAAAAAAAAAAAAGCACCCACATCAGTTGCTGTTTTTCTCTGGTAGCTCCCTGAGCTGAGTTGCTATGCTTTCCTCTAACTTTCTGTCCTTTTTAGGTTTTGTCTGCAGATTAAGAAGGGCTGAAGAGGGAGTTCCTCTGAACTCCATTTCCCAACATGACCAACTGTGCACCAAAGAGATGAAGGCAGGGACAGTGAGTGAGCTAGTCAGAGCCCTGAGAGAGGGTGATAGGAGCCAGGCAGTGAGGGCGGCCACAGAAAAATCTGACAGGCACTGTGCCCTCAGTCCCAGCCGGGCTCACCTAGGCTCTGACTGTCCTCTGTGTGGCGTGGTCTTGATCCTCCTGGGACCATCCCAGGGCCACCTGGATGCACCCTCATTCCAAGGGACTCGACTGGTCAGTCTGGTTACCAGCTGCAGTTCCCTTTCTCCACCCCAGGATTTCTCTCTCATTTCTCCCCCTCACTGATACCCCTCCCAGGAGGGAACTGGGAACTTCTGTTAAAAAGAACACAAAACACCACCACCATGAGTGGATTACAAATACAGCAGGCGAAATACACGGCTAGCATTTCTGGTGAGAAGGAGCCTCCTTCCCCACTGACCAGTCCGAGATAGGAGTCCGTTATTTACATTTTTCACATATCTTGTGCGCTGCACAAGCGAGAAAATAAGATCCCCATCCCTGGCACAGGTATGTGGTCCACTCCAGTGTCCCCAACCCAGGGCAGGGGACAGGTCAAAAGAAAGGGTAAGGAAAGATAGAGATTCACGAGGGTGTCTTTGGGGAGCTGGAGCCATGAGTCTCCACATACATCTATTAGTAGCATCTGCCAGCACGGTGATGGGGAAGAGGAGAGAAATCCATCGGAGTCTGTGGGACACGTCACCTCAGCCCGGAGCTGCACAGTGCCAGCGCCTGCCCAGCCTGCCACCGCGCAGCGGAACGCTCGGCTGCTCCGGCCTCGCCTTCCTGAGGGGCCCGCACCAGGATCTCCCTGTCACAGTCGAGTCTGTTTCTCCCAGAGTTTGACAGCCCTGTTAGAGTTCTTGCTTAGTAGATGACCTCATAAACCGTGGCCTTCTTGTCACCAGAGCCTGTTACAATATATTTGTCATCCGCTGAAATGTCACAACTCAAGACAGACGAGGATTCCTTAGACTGGAGGAGGAGAGGTAGGAAGGTGCAGGACGAAAAAAAAGACAGGAGTCACTTTAGCTTCGCACACTTCAGTGCTCCAAATTAAATTGCCCTCCCCCGCCCAGCACTCCCACTGCAGTGCACACAGTGCGCCCTCACAGGCAGCCCAGGGGGTGGCTCCAGGCAGAGATGCCCTTCCATGGGCTTGCAGCCACTGCAGTACCCACAGGGATCTTAGGTGTCGGGCCTCAGATCTTGAAGAATCATAAAAGGCCTCCTCCCTCTCCTACCTCTTTCTGGACCCTTTTCCTCCTGCCCCACCACTCTCCTTACATTGAAATGTTGAGATGAAATTGGATCTTACTTGAATATCAGGTAACGCTGCTCTGAAAAAAGCTGCCCTGTGTGCTCCACTGCCTCACACACCTCCTGAGTGCTCAGTGCCCAGGCCAGAGCCAAGACCATGTTTTCTCTCTGCTTGACTCTGGAAATCCTACAAGAGCCCCTGCTGAAAAGCCCTCACCTGAGGGGCCAGATGCCATTAGCAGCAGAGAGTTTTGCTGATGTGGCCAAGTCCTTGCTTCTGGAGACCCATTTGGGACACCATCAGGGAGGGGCTGGAAGATGGTCCTGCTTTGGCTCCCACCATCCCCACCCCCATCACCACAGTCTGGCTCTGACTCTGGGCAGAACCAAGAGGGGCATTTGGATGGCAGGTGGTACCTGGAATATGCTGGCTCCATACGGTGTCCTCCAGGCATTAAGAAGGTTATCTTTCCCAGTGCTTACAAACCACTTGCCTGCAGGTGAGAGAAAAAGACCATCAGGTTGTATGTGACCTCCTGCCCTCTAAAGTTAGACCTGCCCCCACATGCTGTCATGGAAACATGGTGTGAACCACTAACCAGTGCTTAGCCTACTTTCTGCTTTCAAGGGACAGATATATAACAGATACGTGGACACCATGCCTTTCTTTGCAATCAAGGTGGGAGGTGGGGGGTGGGCAGGGCTGATGAGAAAAGGTAGGGTTTGCACAAAATGGGAGCAATGACACTCTCCCAAAAACATTTTTTTAAAGCTACCAAGGTAGACTGATCCTTCTCATTTCTACTGGAAGATAGCAGGCGGTGCTGGAAAATGGCAAAGCCCTGAGTCTGCAGACCCAGCTGGGACAGAGGTCAGCAGGTGCCCTTACTCTGCCAGGGTACTGCCAGCATGAACACATTGTGCCCCCAAAGCCATGTGGTGGGCACCATGCCAATCCCAGGCCAGAGTAAGATGTATCTGAATCAGAGAGGATGAGATGTGTCCCAAGCTGCACAGCCAGTCAGCGGAGAAGCAGACATTCCAATCCAGGGCTCGAAGCCATCCGAGGCTGCAGTGCTCACCGCCTTCAAGAACTGCCTAGAGGAACTGCCCAGAGGGCTGGGAGCACTATCCTATTGCCCCAGGCCACAGCGACTGGCTCGGGCCTGGCATCCAGAGAGCTCACTACCCTGTGGCAGTATCTTCATCTGCGGGACAAGGATGGGGAGACACTGGTTGGGGTCAGGAGGCCTGGTTCCCATCAGGGCTCTGTTCCTAAGCTTTGGGCCCCTCATCTCTACACAGAGGACAGGCTAAGCTGCCGGGACCCCACTCCCCAGGGCTCACCGCAGTAGGCGAACTTGAGGGAGAGCACGCAGCTCTCGTGCAGGTGCAGCTGGTACTTGTCCGGCTTGGTGTGGTGCAACACCTCCACATTGCTGCTCTCCATGCCCACGGCCAGCCATTCCCCAGTGGGGCAATAACCCAGCGAGAAGATCTGCAGGGGAGGGACCAGATGAGCTCAGGCTCACTACCCTCCAGATCCCACCGCTCATTCCCCATCACCTCTCCATCTGCCCTTTGTAAAACCAAGCCTTCCTCTCTCCCTCAGCCCAATAGCCCAGGGGGATGGGATGTAATTTTTCATCCCCATTTTATAGGTGAGGAGGTTGAGTCTTAGAGAGGTTTATGACTCCAGATAGTAAGTGGGAGAGCTAGGATTCAAACTCAGAGGTGGTACAGATCTTTTGCTTTCAAAAAGTTACTCTCCATGACTTCTGCCTTTCCTTAAGAAAAAAGTGAGCAAATAAAACACTAAAATATTAAATATTTATGGCTAAAAATTAGAATGAGTAATAAAAATAACAAAAAAATCATAATACCTAGTATCTACAGAATGCTTTCTATGAGCCAAGTTAATGGCTAAGGCTTTTAGAGGGACCATTCCAGATACTCATACTAGATCTAGGAGGTAGCTACTATTATTCTCATCCCAGAAATGAGAAAACTGAGGCAGGTATATTACACAGGAGCCTCCCTAGGTGGACACGGTGTCTCCTCAATGTGCATTCTTAGTCCCTCTCCTTACCCCACATGCCTGATGAGGGGCTGAGTGCTCAACTGTGGAGGAGCTGGAAATCAAATCTAAGCAGTTTGGTCAAGTGTGGCCATTGTAAGGCCTTGCCAATTCTATTTCATAGCTGCTTCCTCTGGGAAGCCATCTCAGATGGCTCAGATGCGTCATTTGCAATGGCCACCTGTAAGGGACCCATCACCCCTTGACTGGGCCCACTGGGCGGGAATAAGCTGCTCTCCAGGAGGGGAGGGGAGTGGATTGCTCACCTGAGAGGTGAAGTCATGCTGCTGCAGCTGCCGGCCCTCCCGCAGGTCCCAGGAGCGCACAGTGTTGTCCAGCCCCCCAGTCCACAGTTTGGTGCCATCGTGGGAAATGTCTATGCAGCTGGCCCCATCTGTGTGGCCCTGGAACTGCCTATGAAGGCCAAGCAGGGAGGAGGAGTGAACCCGGGAAACCACTGAATACCAGCTGGCAGCCTCTGAGCAGAAGAGGAAACTGAGGCCTAGGAAGGGGTATACCATGTGCCCATGGTCCCTTATAGCAGAGCTAGGCCCCTCCCCCACTCCACTCAAGGGTCATGTCCAGGGGCAGGTATATAACACAGGAACCTCCCTAGATGGACACTCTGTGTCTCCTCAATGTGCATTCTTAATCCCTCTCCTTACCCCACACGCATAACGAGGGGCTGAGATCAGACGCAAGCCGTATGGTAATGTGACAAACAAGGATGGCCAAGGTGTCCTGAGAGCCGGCTCTGAGCCAGCTCCAAGCAAGGTACTGAGACGCAGGGCTAGGCGACTTGCACGAGGTCCCTCCCACAGCCGCACCTGACGAGCGTCTGGTTGTGCAGGTCCCACACAGCAATGTTCCCATCGCTGCAGCAGGAAAAGCAGACTTTGGCATCAGGGCTGATGGCCAGGGCATAGCAGGCAGGGGCAGAGGACGTCAGCTCCGCCTTGATGCGAGGTGTGGGTGAGGCCAGGTCCCAGATGGTGAGCGTGCTGGCCTCGCCGCCCACGATGAGCGTGCGCCCATCGGGGAGCAGCTTGCAGGAGCGGATGTAATTGTCCCTGTTCTGGAGGAAGCAAGGGCAGGGTCAGCACTGCCCACCTCCCTTCCCAGAGACCAGAAGTCACAGCCAGCACCTCCAGGCACTCCTGCCACCCATGCTAACATCCCGCCCTTGTTCCTGGCAGTTGCCAGGCCATCTGCACTGCTCATTCACAACCCTTCAATCTTTCACGCATTTTTTTACACACCCAGGTCAGTATCATCTCTACCTAGACAGTAAAACCATGGGCCAGGGAAGCTAGCCAGCTTGCCCAAAGTCATCCAGCCAATACAGGGCTCAGCCAGGTCAGCAGGGCTACCTCGCTGGCCCAGGCTACCCTGTTCTCCCATGCCAGTTAGAGGTGCCCACAGCCCAGAATCCTCACCAGGCAGTCCAGCTGGGAGATGGGGCTCTTGCTGCCTGGTTGGCTGATGTCCCAGATCTTCACACAACCCTTACCACCTGTGTAGACGTGCCGCGTGGGGTTGCTGATGGTCACGGCACACACCACCTCCCCATGGCTGAGTGTGTTGATCTGCCGGGCGTGCCTGGGGATGCCGGGGCCTGCCAGGGCATCGTGGGGAAAGGGCACAGGCTGCATCTGCCCATCAGCACTCACATGGAAAGAGTAGGCTCTGAAAGGGCAAGAACTGTCACTTCTGCTATCTCCAGTTCTCTCTCAGTCTCCCCAGGCCCTGCCAGTCCACTGGAACCACCCCAACTGGCCTCACTGTCTCCAGATGCCCCCCAAATCTTAGGAAACCAGGTAACTCCAACCTTCTTGTCCAGGCTCAACCAGGGTGAGAACTGCTTAATATTCCAGCTTTGACTCTGCGCCTGCTTACACATCCTTGCTCCAAACCAGTTCACTTAGCCCCGCCTGTGTCTTGGAATGGACTCTCCCACCATCTGTGACATCCCTGACACACCACCTGCCCCTAAAAATCCCCAGCAGAATGCCACCCCCTCCTTCAGGAGCCAGTGGTATCAGGGGAGGGGGATCTGTTTACATCCTCAAATAAATCGGAGTATACATCAGAGCCAGTGTGTGAGCCAGTGAAGGCTGCCTGCTGTTTCATGCTACAGGGGATGCCAGCTGGGAGGGTTTCAAACAAGTAGAACCCAGGCCAACCGTGTCCTTTGATTAGAAGGCCCTGATGTTTGCACACCCATGCTCTCCCAGATCCCAGTGAGCATACCTGAAACCCCTCAGTTCCTCTTGTAGAGGGAGCCCTGAACTAACCAGGAGTATGAGGACAGGCTGCTAATTCCCGGGGTTGTAGCCTGTCCTAGAAGAACCTCTAAAGGGCAGGCTAACAACTTCTCAAGGGAGGTTCACCAGGGCAGTGGTGCTCTCCCCTGCCCTCCCCAGAAGCATGCAGTAAGTGCAGCGAGAGCTTACGGTTTTCCACCAGGAATGGAGGCAAGGCTTGAGGGCAGGCCTGTGGCCCGCATGGGGGGGTGAGGGTCAAAACCAACCTGTAAAGCAAAACAAGGCCAGTCTTTAGTGAGTGATACACCATATATCCCCCCCACCCTGGCCTCCTCCTCCTCTGCTTCCTGCCTGCACATCACTGCGTCTTCTAAACCGGGGAGAGATAAGTAGAGCCCAGGAGGGCCAGCGCCTCACCCAAAACAATAGTGGGGAAGGGATGACAGTCCAGACTTCCCAGCGCTGACCCAGCAACCTCCCCATCTCCCTGCGCCCCCAACCCCACTAGGCAGTTGCCTCTGCCCCACTTCAGCCCCCCACAGTGTCCCAGTGGGCTCTCACGTACAGAGGAGGCCCCGCAGGTATAGGAGGTAAAGACAGAAACTGTCTCCTGAAAAAAGACCCCACTCTCTACCAACCCATCAGCGGATGGCCAATCCAAACTGCTCATTAACACGAACAGACAATCTTTGGTGTCATATGCAGCCCCATTTGCCAACCCCCTGCTCCCTGCAAGCTATCTGACTCATCTTGGGATCCCATCCCATGGAGCCCAGAATGACAGAGATCAGCCCCATTTCCCAGCTGAAAGGGCAGGCAGGGAGGCTGCATCAAGTGAGGGAACATGGCAGTTGGTGGGCAAGCAGGGGTAGATCTGCAGCTGCTGATCCCCAAAGGCGTGGTTTTCTTCTTTCTAATGAGCACTGTACCCCAAAGGCAGCTAGCTGTCTGGTCGAGAGACCCTTCTAGTATGAGGAAGTGCCCCCCTAATCCTCACCAACTCCCTACTCCTTGCTAGTCCCCCAAAAAGGAGCCAAAAAGTCTACGTACAGCTCCAAAGCTCACCATTGGCGATCGGCCATAGGCGGCAGCGGCGGCGGCAGCGGCCGCACTCATCTGGGGCGGGATGTTGTGGAGGCTGGCGTAGGCACTGGGGCTAGTGAGGGAGCCATTCATCTCGTGGTGGCTCATCATGGCAAAGGGCGCTGCGTAGGAGCTGGTGATGGAGATGGGCGTGCGCAGGGCCGAAGCTGCAAGGAGGCAGGCATCAATGGGAAAGCATCACGGAGGGAGCCCCATCCAGCAGCAATCCTGCCAGCACCCTAGAGCCGCCTGCCCTGACAGTCCTCTCAGAGGAGCCCACCTCGCTGGCTCCTACCTGCATAGCTTAAGAAGATTCAAGCGGAGAGATGTCACACCCTTTTCTATAGAGCAGGTCACAAAGGCCAAGAAGGGGTTGTTCAGAGCCTCACAGAGGAGAGGCAGAAGCAAACCATGGTGCCCCAGCCTGTCTGAAGCCCCCTGCCCAGTGGCCCCAGGAAGCCCTGCATCAGTGTTGAAGCACCAGTCTGTCTCCTGAAACCTGACCAGGAAGCCCCCCAAAGGCAGGCCCCGGAGAGCCTCAGCTCAGACACACTCTCTGGTGCTTGGCTCGTCTATGAGCTCCAGCCCTGGCCTGGCAGACCCTCCCCTCAACCACAGGCATCCCAGCCCTGTCGTGCCTACCCATTATACCTATCGGGTCCATGCCCGGAGGTTTGCCTTGCATCGACCGGAGCCCTGGGGTCGTGCTAGTGCCTGGAGTTGGGGCATCATTCCTCGGAGTTGGTGTGTTAGACTTGAGCCCAGGAGTGGAGGATTTGTCATTCTAAAAAGGGAAGATGCAGAGACCCAGAGAAACCATGAAGCTCTTTACATTCTGATCCCCAAAGGCATTCTTCTTTCTAATGAGCACTGTACCCCAAAGGCAGCTGTCTGTCTGGTCATGAGACCCTTCTGGAATGCAGGAAGTGCCCCCCTAATCCTCACCAGCTCCCACTTGGAGCCACAGTGCTGAATGCTGGTCACCACATGAAGCATGGGGACAGCCCCCACCCCAGTTTTGAATCTTCTGCCCAACAGCCACTCATTCTTGCCCAACCATGCTCAGCAGAGGCCATGGCAACTTGCCCACTTGGTAGATGCAGCAACCAAGGCTTAGGAACGTTAAGTAGCTAGCACAGGTCAAGTAGTAAAACCGGCATTTGAACCTGGGCCAAAGCCCAACCTGTTAGTTTTACTCCATCCCTCTGCCCTCCTGTCAGCATCACTCCAGCTCCAGTCTCTTTTCCAGATGTCTCCCCTCCCCCCCGACCCTCCGCAGCACCAAGGGCAGACCCCACATACATGACCAAGGTCTTTGGTCTTGGAGGAAGGTGTGCTGCTGGAGGAGGCCACTGAGGCGGGGCTGGTGGGGGCATCCTTTTTCAGGCCACGGGCTTTGTCCAGCCCATTTTCAGGAGGGGAGTGTGCTGGGCTGACCCGGGGTGTTGCTGGGTCCTAAAAACACAAGAGATTCAGAAATGTACTCAGAGCGACAACCAGCCTCGACTCCTTCCTGCTGTGGGGTGGAAGGGAGAGGGCATGGGTGATAGGAAAAGGAGCATGGCTGAGAGACTGGGGACCCCAAGGTGGGGGTAAATAGTTCTTAATTATCTAGTCTGACCCCTTTGACTCCCAGATGGGGTGATGGGGGTCTGAGGAGTGGGGTGACCTGCCCAAAATCACACACAGTTCAGGACTCAGATCTGGGCAGCTGGGTCTTTTGGGCTTGGGTGGATGTGCTCCAGCTCCTCCTTCTGGCTGAGGCTGGCCCAGGAATCACAACCCCACCTCCAGACTCCAGGGTGGTGGGCAGAACACAGCTGACCTGGAGGACATGAGGAACCGGCCCTGGCTCTAATCTGGGGTCTCTGGGGGTTTCTCCGAGGACCTGTCCTAGGAAACCCACAGTGTCCTGCTCTGCTCCTCCCACCAGCCTGATGCCCCAACTTCAGAGGCCTCCTCACACTCCACAGGCTGCCAGTCTGTTAGCACAGCAGCTGGGACCCAGAGCACCCACCAGGCAGGAACACTCTCACACCCCAAGCCGACAGACGCCCTGCAGTCTGGGCCTGCCCTTACCTCATTGGAAACATCCACCACTAGATCATCACTCTTGTCCCCATCACTGTCCTGCAACCAAGACAGAACCAGTAAGAGGCCACGCCCTCCCCACCCCACACTGAGCATGCACCATTCCCACCCTGCTTTCCACCAGTCGAATCTGAACCCAGGCCAACCCGAAATTCACCAAAGGCGGCCCTCCTTCTCACGGTGTCCTAGCCGGGCCCCCAGCCCTGGGTCATTCTGCTCCCACACCCACTGGCAACCACACTGATAGCTGGCCCGTTATATTTCTAAGCCCCTTGATCCTACTTTCCAGTGGGTTTATATTTGTCATCATTCATAAGGAAGTGAACTGGTCTCACTTCACCATTTCCACATTCTGTGCGGGAGGGACAAGGAGCCACAGCGCCCAGAAATGCAGCTGAGGCTTCGGCTGTGCAACGTGTCCAAAGCCACAGAGCAGCCAGGAGGCTGAACAAGGCTTGGCGCAAGACCACCAAGTCCCAGCATAGCATCGTCCTTCCCTCTGTGCCAGCTCTCACCCCTGCACACTGCACAGTCTGCATAGCAGATACCACGACCAGGCTGTAGGATCAAACTGTGGGGCAACACAAATGTGCACGCGAGGAGGGCCACAATGGCAGCCGGGGTTGTTGGCCTGTCCCTGAGAGATGCTCTCAGTTCTCCCCAGACCCCACCACCCTCCGCCCACCTTCCCCAGGCCACCAGCTATCCTTGTGGGACCCTCTCCTGCCCCTGGACCCACTTACGTCTTTCTGACACACCCAGGACAGGTCCTGTGGGTTCTCCCACACCCCGGCCTGCCCACCACAAAGCCCAGCAGTGCTCACCACACCCTCAGACATACATATCGGCTCAGGCTGTCCTTTTCCTCGGCCTTCCGCTTCTTGGCTTCCATACTGTAGTCTGCAGAGCCCCGGTGCTTCTCACTGGCCCGCAGGCTTTCCGAGGGTGACACCGAGTTGTTCTGGAAGCAGGAAGGCAGTTCAGTGTGATCATTTCACACACAGAGTCAGAGCTGAGTGCACTAAGTCAGGGCAGTGAGAGTATCCTTAGTGTCCTGCAGGTCCCAGCGGCATCAGCCTCTCAGCAAGAAAGCCTTCCTGACTCAACAGACTGAAAGAGGCTCTGGGAGCATCACAGTTTGCTTTTGTTGCAGAGCCCCTGCTACTGAGTAATTAACCTGGCAATGAGCCGTATGCCCTCTGGCCTATGACACTGCACGCTCCTTCAGGATGACAGTCCCACCTGCCTCCTTCACCCCATCTCATGCCTGTCACACATATTTGATCCTAGAAGGAATAAAGACAATTTGCACCGAGTCCTGAAAGATGGATCTGAGCTGACAAACTGGAACCATGTGCAAATCTTCATCTGCTGACCCAACAGGTATGACTGCTGCCAACATGCTTTCTAAGAGGAGGTGCAGCTTTAGAGAAATGCCAGGATAACAAAGAAACAGAAATGCAGCGTTGTCTTCCCTCTGAAAGATGGGAAAAGAGAACAAGGAAGGCAGCAGTCCTCCCTGTTCCTGTCACAACGGAAAAGAAGTGGGGAACGTGCCCAAGGCCCGCTGACAGGAAGCAACGTGAAGAAGGCCAAGTTCCTCCGCCCTGGACCTAATGAATTCTCCCTTCAAGTATGAAGCAAGCAGGGACAAGACCACTTTGGAACTCGAGGCCTGGGGATGGCAAAGATGAGCCTACAGGTGAGGCAGCGGCACCTTGCAGGCAGCCTGGAAACAATGTCGTCCTGAAGGTGAGAGCACCACCCACAGAGGAGGACCTGTGGGCCCCCATGGTGTAGGCAGCAGGAACAGCACCATATGGCTGTCAGCACCAGGCTGGGACGTGGGGAGGGGCGCCTGGTAGCAAACCTCTGTGCCCAGAGAATAAAGTCAGAACCAATGTCCCCCTTGGGGGGATGGTTGTGTTTACCCTGGTCTAAGAGCCAAATCCCTAACCTTCCCTCACTTTCTCATTACCACCCCTGTTCTGAGTACGCACCATGCAAGGGATAGGGAGGTGCCCAGGACGGAGGAAGAAGCTGCCTTTCGGAAGCTTCCAGTCCAACTAGAGAGAAGGGAAAGGCCAAGCCATCAACATCGCCATGCAGTACAGAGGTGTGTGACGAGGACACGTGGGGATGCAGAGAGGCGTCTGTACACAGGGGGCATCAAAGGACAGGTGGGAGAGCCCACACCTCCATTTTCCCACTTTCCTGGGGGTTAGTGCTGGCGTTTGTGGGAACATTGTGGAAACCAGCTGCAAACTTAATTTCCTTTGCTAAGCCAGTTTCTGGGCATCCCTTCCCTGCCAAGTTTCTGCCTGAAGCAAATTAAAATGGCATTTATCAAGTCTTGAAGAAAAAAATGGAAGTTATAATGGAACTGCAGTTCAACCTTCCCCACAGCCCTGCGAGTGACGTCGATGTGCATACAGCCGCAATTCAATTAGCTGCTGCAAGCCTGGCAGAAAAATCATCATCATTTCACTTCCCTTCCTCCAATGGTGGCCGCCCCATGCTAAGCAGAAATGCTTCCAGGCCCTGTCCTCGCTGGCGGGCAGGGAGGAGGGGGCGTGTGGCAGCTCATGTTTCTCTTTGCGCCCCAGAGTGCAGCTCAGAGCACAGCGAGCTCTTTCTTCTCATGCAGTCAGGCTGAAAACCCTGCTGCTACCGGAGAGTCATGTCAGGCATTTAGCGGCATCGATCCAGCCCGCCTCTGGCTGGCAGGCGGCCAAAAAACTAAGTATTTTTTATTGCTTCGGCTAGGCAAGGAAATATGAATGAAGCTACCTCTAATTGGACTCTAGACTAACCCCTCTGGGACAGCTTCCAGCCCATCTAGCCATCCCCCTCACACCCCAACAAAGCCTTGTCCTTCCGGCCATGGGCCACATCTGTTGACAACCTGGTTTCCAGTCTACACTCCCTCCAACACCATCCTCACAAGCACAGCCCTGCTGCCTCTCCCAAGCTGCCCATCCCACCCCCAGATGGCATCTTGACACATTCCCACTGGACTCTCCAGGGGCCCGAGCCTGCCTCCCTGCTCTGTAAATCTGATGTGCATGGATATGGGAGAGTGACATGGAGTGAAGAGCTTAGCTCGTGAGGGTTCCCTGGGGGTTTCTTGTAGCAGATAGCTTTCATAAACTGGGGCACAAAGCCAAGAGCAAATAGCAATGAGGATGAGGGCGATGTGAAGACAGAGAGCGTTTTGGGCTTCAATGACCTGTTTTGTTCTGCAACGGGTCCATTAGTAGGTCAGGTCAGGGACCCTGGGTTCTGTTCTGAGCGGTGGGGTCTTCCTAACCAAACTGAGAGGCTGGCTGGGCAGGAAGATGCCCATGTTAGAGATAAAGAAACCAAGTTGGGGAGAGGCCAAGAAAGTCATCCAGAGTCCCATGAAGCAAGACCAGACCTAAGTCTGAAGGGATCCAGTCTCAGCTTTCTCCTATGGAGGCAAGCCACCTCTCCCAAACGCCACCTTCTGAGAACCAACACTAAAGCCAACAAAATGCATTTTCAACTTTAGTTATTTCTTTCTTATGTATAGAGCCCCTCCAGGGCCCCCACGTGGATCTGGATTTCTGAGCACGTGGGCCAGTCCAAAGGGGACACAAGCACTGCTGCTCAGAGGGCTCACACTCAGCCTGGGCAGTGGCTGCGAAGGGGTGGTTAGTTAACTGCCTGACCTTCCAAGGCCTACTTAACACAAGGTAATGACCAAAGCCATCCCTGCAGATTAGATGGCCCCAGATACAATGACAGCGATGAGGAACAAAATGCCTGTGCTAATCGCCGGAGGATTTTTTATCCAGACTCCACTGTGCTTATTCAGAAGGCTATTCACTTGAAACAGAACCTCTGAGCCTCAGTGTGATCAGAAAGATTTACAACAAATCTCAGAGCTGGCAGATGCGCAGGCAGCCTGGCCTTAATGCTCACTTCCTAGCACTTCCTTAAACCCAGAACAGAGAGAAACATCAGAAAATGAGGAGGCAGGATCATTTGGGGACAGCCACCCAGGACGTGGGGAAGCACCCCACCCAGGACATGGGACACCTAGGTCCTAAGCCATGGTTCAGCCCAGAGACTCCACAAACCCTCTGGGAGGCCCCAAGGCTGGCCAGCAGACCTCTCTGATCAACCACTTCTCCTGTAAAGGGAGTTAGAGCTCCTTTAGACATAGCTCTTCATTTGACAAATGATGGCCTGGAGATGAAGGCTTCCCCAACTGAAGGTCACTCTCAACAGACAACTCCCATCTCCTGACAATACTCTCACCCCCACCAGAAAAGCACCTAGTGCCCTCCTCCCATCCCCAAACACACCCAATTGGCTCGAGTGCTGATACTTACCGCACTGGATTCTCTCTCTTTGGGAACCGAAGGCCAGGACAGGAGGGTCAGGGTCCCAAAACAAAAAAGAAAGAAAAAAGTCAGTCCCAACATTTCCAAGCAAGCAACAGGCCTGGCTGCACTGTGGGTCAGCCAAGGCAGGGCTTTAGGGACGTTTCTCAATTTGGACATTAATTGCCCCGATTCTAACACTTCCCCCTGCCACCAGCCCCTGGGTGTGGCGGCCTTCGTGATCCGGCTCTCCCAGACATGCCAAGGACCATCACTACTAGTCAGCAATTTTTAAGCCATAAGCTTGGGAAAGATCATGCTATGGAAACTATCCATAGGATCTGGGATTGAAAACATTTTTTTTTTTAAATTGTGAGAATGGTAGTGGTGTTTAATTAACAGCATTCTCCGTCTCTTTGCCAGAAGCTCCTGAAAGCAGAAGCCTCTGATTACTGAATCAGTGGGGGACTAGCCCCCTAACTGGCCTGCCTGCTGTGGGAAGGCTCTCTTCCTCTGCAGAGTACCATCCTACTGCAGGGCAGGGATGTAAGCCACTGGCTCCCACAGCCTGGTGCCACATGGGGCCCCAGCCGGGCAGGATGATGACACTCCAGGCCCCTAGTGCCCAAGAATGTGGTGCCCAAGGGCTCAGAAGGTGCAGCTGTGTGCCTTGGCAAATATCTAAGAGCAAATAAAATCATCCCGCTGAATATTTTTGAATTTACACGATGTTATATATCAATTATATCTCGGAAATATGTCAATTATCTCGGAAAAACACCTAAGGGCAGAGCACACAAGGTGGCAGGTTTTGAAAAGTGTCTTCCTGGAGGCTGGGCCCCTTCCTTTCCCATTCAAACTGAGTCCTCCCGAGGCCTACTTCATGCAGCTTCCTGGATCCTGATGGTAAAGACCCTTGGAAAGGTGGGGGCAGGTCCTCATTGCAAGTCTTCCCAAGCACCTCCCTGCAGTAGTGTGGTAGCTACCTCTGCCTATAGTCAGTCAACTCACAAGTCTTTACGTGAGTGCTGACTGTGCGCTATTTCCAAGGCACCTGCGTGGGTGAGCCACATTAATTTCAATTCCTTGCCCTCAGAGGACTGATACTCTCTGAAGACAAAATGCCTTCCAGGGGTAGGATACAAGTGGACAATAACAAAGGCTCAGTTCTTGGGACTCTCCTTTTTAAACTCTTATGTGAATTTGAAAAAGAACCCAGCCTGAAGGCGTGGGACTGAGGCCGGCCCTTAAGGCTAGGCATGGTGTCAAGGACGATGGAAGGGAAGGGTACTCTAGGATGAATGGAGAAGGTGTCTTCCAAGGCAGAGAATTTAGTGAACATCGGGGACTAGGGGGATTGGCATGGGTGATGGGGCTCTTGTTCCCATCCACCAGGAATTTAAGAAACAGCTCCAAACCTGTTGCTAACTCCTGATTCTAGGGTGACAGCATTTGCCGTGTCCACTTACAGTGGGGTCTACCGGACCTCTGCTCCAGCCCAGCCCAACCCAGCCCTGCCCTCTGCCCCCAGCCCCAGATCTAGGCCGCACCTCTGTGATCCAGCTCATGGTGGTTCTTCTCGTCCTTCACGGTCATATGGGCCTGGCTGCCCAGGGCTCCAAGTGCCAGTAGCCCCGAGCTGCTCCCTGTCACCGGGGGGATCCCTGGAGGCTGGAGGCCTGATGGGTGGGGTGGCAACTGGACTGGGGGGCCATGTGTGGCATGGGAGAGGTGCTGCGCCTGGAGCTGCTGTTGCTGCAATGAAGTTGGTGGTGAGCACAGCTGAGCAGACAAGGGCAGGAGAAACCACAGGCTTCCTTCATGTGGCAGCAGGGGGAAAAGTCCCTCAAAATCTTTGTCCCCAGCTCAGTCCACATGCTGTATTGCTAAAGGAATCTGTCCATTAACAATGTTTATGTCTTCAAACACTCCACCTGCCCCCCACCCAATTCAGGATAGAACTTCCTCATGTTTAAAAGTCTAAGATAAATAAAGCATGCATTTAAAAACCAGTCATCAGGGATCCCTCTCAGTAGAGATCCATTTCTAAGATCCTGGTAGTTCATGTTTGCTCACGCTTACATGCCTTCAACATTAGCAGCCAGCATCCCCACCCCAAGCCCCTATGGCAGGGAAGGCTCCCTAACACCGACGCACTCCAGGCCTGCCTTTGAGCGAGGGCCGGCTCCAGCAGCCAAGTCCAAGATCAAGAGAAGGCGGTGGCCTGTGAAATGAGAGCCAATGTCACTGGACATCAGAGTGAAGAAGAGGGTAATAAGAAGAGTGGAGTCTTCCCTAACTGGGCAACTCATAGAGCAGTCCCGATATGCCAAGGTTGTGGGTTTGGTCCCCAGTTAGGACACATACAAGAATTAACCAAGGAATGCATAAATAAGTGGAGCAATAAATCTATGTCTCTCTCTCTCAAATCAATAAACAACAAAGAAATCAATGGAATCTTTAGAATCAGTGCAGGATGCAAACCCCACCTCTGGCACTTATTACCGTGTGACCTCAGGTGTGTTACTCATTAAGTGATCTCAGAACAGTAGCTAACATTCACCAGAGGGCTTGCAATGTCTCTCCTCAGTTCTAAAACCTTGACCTGATTAACTCAGCATTATCAACAACAGCAACAATAACAGTCCTAGCTAAGGAGTTTGGGTCTCTGCTCCAGACACCATACCCCTTCCCAGCCTAGCCTCGGGGTCCTCTCTTTCCCTCTCCCTCTCCAACACCCAAGGGGTTGGTTTAGGGCAGCCTTAGGTCTCTCCCAGCAGACAGGACAAAATGCCCTTTACCTCAACATTCCTAAGCTGGGGCCTTGGATGTGCTGGTACCCCCTGTACATACATCTTCTTCTCAAATAGCACAAGAGGAAAGAACCAACATTAATGAATGCCTGGGCATTTCGAAATATTATCTCTGACCCTTCCAATCACCTGGCAAAGGAGGGGTTGTGCCCATTTTTGCAGAAGAATAAGTAACTTGAAAAGTCACATCACTAGTAAGTGGGATCTAGGCTCAAATCTATCAACCACCAACCTCTTCCAGAGAATATTACTAAGGAGGACCCCAAAGCAAGAAGAGTTCTTTGGGACTGTGGGGGGATAAAGAGCGAAAGTCTGATAAGCTTGCATGTTAACTGTGGCATTGGGGCCACTGCTGACCCATGGCAAACACAGTGAAGGCCCACAGTTCTGATTAGAGGTGAGGCTCCAAGAGGCAGTATTTGAGGTCAAAAGTTACCTACCCCGCTCTCCCACAGCTAAGCTATAATCTGCCAACCTGGTCTACCCCAAAGTTAATGGCAACCACAGCTACCATTTCACTCCTGGCCCAGAGGGCTCATTTCTCATCTCTGGGAGAAAGGCTGGGACTTGCAGCCAAAACCTGGGACGTCTGTTGCTGGGCAGTTTATAAAAGCTGCTGTTGGGTACTGAGCCCAAGATGCTCAAGCAGGAAGTAAGTGCAAGTACCGAGGAGCTGGGGTTACGGAACCCAGTGCAGAGACCCAACCCACCAGCTGAACTCAGCTTTCTGGGACTGGATGGTAGAGTTCCCCCACCTTTTCTTTGTCAAAAAAATATAATTTTTATATTACAAAAGTAATACATGCTCAATGTCAGAAAATATCACAAATAAGTAGAGATTTACATTTTTTTCTAAAAATCTTACCCTTCAATCCCATTCCCTAGAAAATCAACTGTTCATCTGTCTAGATTTTCCTTTATGGAAATCCATAAATTTCAAATGTGTTTCTATACAAATGGGCTCTTGTTAACTTTATTGCTATACAATTGAATTTTAATTTAGGGGGTTACAAACAAATCAACATTTCCTTTTTTTAAAATATATTTTTATTGAGCCAAGACCGGTTTGGCTCAATGGATAGAGCGTCGGCTTGGGGACTGAAGGGTCCCGGGTTCGATTTCGGTCAAGGGCATGTATAATACCTTGGTTGCGGGCACATCCCTAGTGGGGGGTGTGCAAGAGGCAGCTGGTCGATGACTCTCTCTCTCATCGACATTTCTAGCTCTCTATCTCTCTCCCTTCCTCTCTGTACAAAATCAATAAAATATATTTAAAATATATATATAGATATATTTTATTGATTTTGTACAGAGAGGAAGGGAGAGAGACAGAGAGCCAGAAACGTCGATGAGAGAGAAACATCGACAGCTGCCTCCTGCACACCCCCCACTGGGGATGTGCCCACAACCCAGGTACATGCCCTTGACCGGAATCGAACCCGGGACCTTTCAGTCCGCAGACCGACGCTCTACCACTGAGCCAAACCGGTTTCGGCCAACATTTCCTTTTTAATGGCTGCATAGTATTCCCTGTGGTTGAACCATTTGACTTTTTTTTTTTTTTTTTTAAACCTCACCTGAGTATATTTTTTCCGTTGAGAGACAAATCGATTAGTTGCCTCCCACATTCACCCTGACTGGGGGCCAGAGATTGAACCCTCAACCTTCCATCTGTAGGCTAACCACTAAGCAAAATTGGCCAGGGCTGGACCACTCAATTTTATCTAGATGCCCAGTTTTAAAATGAGTCTCTGCTGGGGGCCCTGTGGTTTTAGAGCAGTTGCTGGTAGGCCCTCCAATACTACTAGGGTTTACTATTCAGTAAAATTCCAGAGAGCAAAAATGGAAGTATTTAACCTACTCCTTTCTGTGCATGGCCAAGAAGATTGCTGGAGGGAGAAGGGAAAGAGGAAGGGAGGGTGGCTTCAAAGAAGTAGTTCTGCTGCCTGGGAACAAGGCTAACTCCTTCACTTGCAATTCTGTGTCTACAGAAAGAGCTTACTGAGGATTCTTACCCATGGAAACACCCTGATGAGGTAAGGTCTGCCCTCTGACCCAACCTTCTAGGCTCATCTTTCAAATGTCATTTCCTCTATAAGCTCCCGTCCTCCTGGTCAGCTTCTCCCTTCTAAGAGTTCTAGCAGCTCAGACTTGAAATCAGGCAGACTAAGGTGGACAGGCAGATCTCCTTCACCAGTTGAGACCTAGATGAGTCAGTGGACCTCTCTGACTCAATTTTCTCATCCGCAAAATGGGAATCAGAATGCAACCCATTTCTTCAGATTATGCAAAGATCATATGCTTTACTACATGACAAGGCAAAGGAGGTGCTCAATTAATATTAGCAAAATCTATGACTGGACTGCAAATATAACTATTTCTTTCATCTTTATATGTGACTTCCTGTGGCTTCCAGAAAAACAGAGACCTTGTTTTATCCATCCCAGCACCTCAAATGTGGTGCCTGGCATGCTTGCCAGGAAAAGGTAAACATAGAGTAAGACAGAACAGTGGTTCTGTCCAAGAGTGACCATCCACTTCCCACATCCGTGCCTCCTCTCCAAGGCCCACTTAGATGCAGCTCCAATTATTATTTGGGACAAGAAGCATCAGTGTGGCTTCCTGCTTCCTTCTCTGTAACATGAACCAGTGAACCAGCATCAGAAACTTGAAAAGCAGAGGCTTGCAAAACTGTTGCGCTTCCAAGACTGAGGGGTGGTTTTTGCCGTTAGCATGTCAAGCACAAGTGTCTCCTTTACAAAGGAGGAAAGGAAACTTCCATGGTGCCATTTACTCCTCATCTTCAAGTATGGGAGCACCGCCTACACAGCCAGGTCTCCTCTGAGTGATTTGAAGGCAGTCAAGAGTGGCCTGACAGGCTCCAGGAAACAGGAACAGAAGAGCTAGTCTCTGAGGCTTCCTTCTGTCACAAACTAGAGTGGTGAAGCCACTAGCGTGGGAGCAGATGCCAAGCACTGGTTGGGCACAGCTCTGCTAACAACAGTCTTCGTTACAACAGACAGTGAAACAAAATTTTCTCCCTAGTGGGGCAGGGGGAGCCAGCTGGCAATCCATGATGATCCGTGCATCTCACCACCCCATTCACAGCCCGGCCCTTCTGCAGGCAGGCAGGCAGGGCACGGCCCTACTCAGGCTGCATTTCTACCCCCTGTGACATCCCCAACGTCAGAGGACAATGTGCTAAAACAGTACCATGTGAGTGAGAGGATGGCCATATTTTCAATTGGGGAAGAAGAAATCAAGTCCATCGTCTAAGGAAGGCCCTGAGCTGACCACTCTTCAGCAGCCTACTCCAGTTACTATTCCTTCTAACTCCAGGACTTCTCCATCCATGACTCCCAACTCCAGCTCCACCTCAAACCCCAGAAAAGGGCCTAGGATACTGGGCCAAGCCCACCCGCGAATGCTCCTTCTGCCCCTTTACCATTTCATACCAGAACACAAGCATGTCCAAGAAGGTGTCCTGTAGGGCTTTTGTGTCCCTATCCTCCACACATGTGCCAAGTGCCTGTGTCCTGGGCTCAGGAGGTATGGCCACTTACAAGCGAGGCCACTGGAAGACTGTTTGTAGAGTATATGTAATTGGATTATGCGTATCATGCTTTATGTTTTTGCGAGCTCATTTAATGCTTCACTCCTCAGGTTCATGATTTGGGCTAAACTTAGTGAAGTTCTGTGTTCTCTAAGTGCTTCCAGAGCCCTGACTGACTGAGGATGCCCACCAAAGCAAGCAAGAGCCCTGACTGCATAAAAGAACACATCCTGCCCTTCAAGGAGAGGGGAGCAGCCTCCACTCGTTCCTTTGCTTCTCCTGGCTGGTGGACCCATCACTGGTGGGGATCACAACAACTCTTCTGATCCCCAGTTCAGAGACGGGGTCAGGGTCGGCGAGGCTAAGGGACTCTGCCAGAAACAACCAGAGCCAGGACTCAACCCAGCATTACTTGTCTCCACCATGGCCTCCTGGAGGAAAGAAACGATGTATTCTAAGGCCTACTTTCTCACCATCCTTCTTCCTCATGTAAAATTCAATCAACTGCCCAGCTGGTGTGGCTCAGGGGTTGAGCGTTGACCTATGAATCATGAGGTCATAGTTCAATTCCAAGTCAGGGCACATGCCCAGGTTGCGGGCTCCATCTTCAGAAGGGGGCATGCAGGAGGCAGCCAATCAATGATTCTCTCTTATTGTTGATGTTTCTATATCTTTCTCCCTTCCTCTCTGAAATCAAGAAAAATACATCTTAAAAAATTCAATCCATTGAATCCAGCTCAACAACATCCTGGAGTGAATTCAAGAACCTTAGGTATGGCTTCACCACTCTAGTTTGTGACAAAATAGATACAAATTCCCTCTTTGTCCTTCTCGCCCTCCACTTTAGTAAAGTGCATGTAACAATAGGGGGTCTGTAGTAACTGAGTCCTGCCAGGCCCTGACTAGCAGGGACATCTTCCAGCCTGTCTTCCCTAGATGGACTCGAGTTCCCTGTGGCCCCACAGGGGAGTAGGTGGGCTGGGCCAGAGAGCCTGAGCTCCCTGACCAGCCCCCATCTCCTCTCCTCTCACACTAACCTGATGCTGGATCCTGGCCCTTCTCACCAGAAAGGGAGACCCTAGAGCAGGGGTGGGGGACCTTTTTTCTGCCAAGGGCCATTTGGATATTTATAATATCATTCATAAGCCATACAAAATTAGCAACTTAGAAATTAGCCTGCTATATTTAGTCAAACATTTAATTAACTCACCCCTAATGCCTTGGCAGGGCCAGATCAAATGCTTTCGCAGGTCTTTTACAGCCTGCAGGCTGACATTCCCTGCTCCTGCCCCAGAGGTATCTCAATCCACGCAGTCAGTATTCCACTAGCTACAGGCATGCCCACACCAGACATACCTAATTTATCTCTTATCTCTCTCTGAGCTGAGCCAAGACATGGCCCCAGAATCCTTTAACTCCATGCCCAAGAGAGCCCTAAACAACTGACTGAAGCAAGAGGCACATCAGATGAAACTTGCCTAGTTCTCCATCTTTTCCCAAATGAGGCCTGGAGGATGAAGCAACTTGCTCAAAGCCCTCCTAATTCCCAGATCAGGGCGCTGAGCCACTTCCCTCTCTAGAGAGGCTGATCTAAGAACCTCTTCGGACCTTCTCTTCACTGTCCTTTACGGCTGGGGGCAAGACATCTACCCTCCTGCCACCAACCTCGGCCCTCCTGGCCCCCTGCCCCGTGCCATCCTTCTCCGCCTCACTTTCTGAAGTCAGCTTAGTTAGCTCCAAGCTCACCTCCCTTCTCCCCGCTGAGGAGGTGAGCCATCTCCTCGTTGACTTGAAGATAAGTCTGGCACCCAGTGCAGCCAGCCTCAGCTGTCCATAATTCCTGTCTTGTGAGGCTCTGTCAAGTACAGCGATTGTACAGCTGTCTGCTTAATGACAGGGCGATGGCCGCATTCACTCAGAGCTGCAGAAGCAATTACCTTGAAAATGGGGGTCACAGGCCCCACTCATTGGCTTTAATTGAATTCCAATATCTGCCTGGAGCTGCTTTGACCTAACTTGTAGCTTCCTAAATACTACTTAAAGGAAGTGGAGCTAATCCAAGCAGCACTTCTACCCCAATTTCACTCTTTTTTAGAAGTTAAAAAAAATTATTTTCACAAGAGGATTTTAATTCCACAGTGGGAAACAGAGGGGAAAAGGAGACCCTACCTTTGCCACTGTAGGGAAGGGAGGGCTCATCCTGAAAAGTGGATGGAGATGAGGAGCTGGAAGAGGAAAAATTCCAGGACAGAACTCACAATGTGCTTGCCACCCATGATTCCCCTTCTACCACTGTCAGCTGAGCCACGAGATGAAACTGGTCACCGAGACATAGGACACAGGATGAGGGCTGAGCCCTGTGCTGGGAATTGGCCTCTGGCCTCTGCCTGGCTTTGCTCCTGAACAGTATGTGACCGTCCCTAAATCACTTCTCTCTGACAAACAAGGGCATTGGCTGTATAGAGCAGTGGTTCTCCACAGGAGCTGTTCTGCCCCTCCCAGACACTGGGCAATGTCTAGAGACAGTGCTGGATGTCACAATGTGGGGGGCTGCTACTGGCATCCAGTAAGTAGAGGCCAGACTGCTGAGCACCCTCCAATGCACAGGACAGAACCTCCACAAAGCACCTGGTCCCAACACTGGGTTAGATGATCCTAAAGAGACGTCAAACTTTGGTATTATGATGTGTGTCCTCTCCCCCCACCCCCCTGCCCCGGGAGTGCCGCCCCCCAAATTCAATGGTTAAAAACACTGCTTGCTCACAGTCCCTTTTCCGAACTCCCCCATACTCCTTGCACATAACAGATAAGGGTCTGCTCCTCCCGCAGTGCTACCAGGGCCCGATCTAACACTTCATGTCCTGCCAAGGAGCTCACACCGGGAGTGCAGACCACATAACCATAGTGGATCCCAATGGCATGAGGGAGGGTTGGGACCCATCAGCATCTGTCACTCAGACCTCCGCCGCCAGGCATTTCTGGCCCAGAGAAATGAGCTGGCCCACACCCTCCTTTTACAGATGCAGAAACTGAGGCTAGAGAAAGAAATGAGCCTGTCCAAGGTCACACGGAAAGATCCAGAACTAGAGCACAAGTTTCCAGATTTCTGCCCCAAAGTGAAAAGCAAAGAGTCACCATCTACCCCACCAAACAGAGAACTCTGGGGCCTGCAGTTCCATGTTGCAATAATGACCTCAGTTAAGAAAAAATAAGGATGAAAACCAACCAGGACCCCCCGGCAAACTAGTCCACTGTTTCCCATGCCTGACTATCCTTCAGAGTAATCCCAGATCTATGGAAAAGACTCTCTGGAGAATTACCTGGAATCTACATTCTCCCAAAACCCCCTTGGGGATGCTGACCCAGGTGTCTGTGGATGGGAAGCAGTGCTCTCACCCACCCTCTGCATTTTATCACTTTAGGGACAAAAGGTGAACAGGTACACCCCAAGGGTAAGAACCATGTCCAAAGTCACACTGAAAAGGTGTTTTTGTTTTTTTCCCTCAGATGTTTACCTGAAACATCCTTAGCCTCAACCAAAGTACCAATCAAGAGAAAGAAGCTATTTGCAACCAAGAACTAAAGATGCAAACCAAGTAGGGGCTGGGGAAAGATCTAGCTTCCTCCTTTCACTGAGGGATCAAACTAGAAGTAGGTTCAGAAGGAGCTCTGGAATATGTTTCCCTGTTCCCTTGACCTAGGAGGTCAGGATGCCCTGTGTAGGTCCTGCAGCTGGAATTCACAAGGGCACCTGAGGAAAGTTCAGCCAGGCAGCTGAGAGCATGGACAGCAGGGCCCAACCCCAAATTCCATAGCACGCTTCACATCAACAGCACAGCAGAGATAGTTCTGATCCCAGATGGCTAAAGAAAGGCAGACCTTTGCCAGGGATGGGGAACAGAGCAGTCAGGTCCTTAGAAGGCATGAGAAAAAGGTTGGAGACCCCATCAGTCAGCCTGGTCTTAAAGGTGATCTCAGAGCTCATCCCCCTCAATAGTGGGGACACCAAAAGTTGAGGGAGGACAGGGATGATGAGTTTAGAGGTTGATTTGAGACATGTCTTTAATTCAGGGATTGGGGGAACAATGAGGGATCCCACAGGGAGAGAGCCCCAAATGGACCCAAGCCTATGAAATGCTTCAGGAAATGGAGTCCTGGGGCTGCCATTCTTTGAGGCCACCTGAGATCAAAATCGATCTCTGGTTATGATAAATGAGAGGAATAAAAGGGCTATACACACGGTGAGAGGCAGATTGGGGAGTCCACGTACCCCGATGATGGCATTCAGCTCCGTCATGGTGACCTGCTTGGCTCGTTCCACAGCCTGCGCCACCTGCTGCTGGTGCTGGAGGGAACGGAAGGGGTTACCTGGCGGCTTGGGACAGGCCGCCACGCCGCAGAGGCAGAGGAGGTCCACGACACTGGCAGTGGACACAGGCGGGTCATGGACAGGGCATTTTTACTTTCTACTTTAAATCCTTTTCAATGAGCATGTATTACTTTTGTAATAAAAACTTTATATAAATTGTTTTAAATTAAAATATAAATGAACCAAAAGATGGGTTTTAGTCAACAGCCCCACTCCAACAGACATACAAAAAGTTTTTCCATGCATTAGACTATGAGCAGGGCATCGGAAGACATTACTGAATGATGATTAATGTTCTAAAGCAGTAACAGTATTGGAGTCACGCAGGAGCCTGTTCATGTTGTTAGGAGATGCAACGGGAGCAGAGAGTGGTGAGCTGTCGGGATGCCTGCAGTTTACACTCAAAGGATTCAGAAGAAATATATGTGTATCTAAGTACAATCAAATCTGTACCTATCTAAATAGAGAGAAAACAAAAACATATGTCTACAGAGAAAGAGAAACAACATAATGAACCCGAAAGTAAGTGATGAGTCGACTTTGAGTGATGAAGACGTATCCATGTTATGTTCAACAGCTGCAACAAATGCACCATTCTGTGGGGGCAGCTATGGGAAATCTCTGTACTTTCCACTCAGTTCTGCTATGAACCTAAACTGCTTAAAAAAGAGTCTTTTTTAAAAACCATTTTTCGGTGTATTCATTTCCTTCAGCCTTGAGGTAGCACCAGCTTCATATGCAGCTGTCTCCAGGCAGCAAACTCTAGGACATGGCTATAAATGTTCTTAAAGAAGTCAATCATTTTTGACACAGGGCTCCAGGAGTGAGCTGAGAAGGGCCCAGGAGGGCCATGGCGGGCAGGGCCTGCCCCAGCCAGAGTGAGCTCTGCCAGATGGAAATGGGCCTCGCAGGCAGCCCATCTGTCCACCTGTACCAAAGAGCCTCCCGGGAGACGTTTCCATCAGCTCAGCCCCCTCCTCAGGAGGGGGCCCCCCCCTGCAAAGTGGCTCAGAAAGTGATGTGAGCAACCAGGCATGCCTTTGGCAAGGGCACTGTTCTGAAGGGTGGGGTCCCTGTGAGTACTGGCTCCCCTCACAGGGGCTAGGTCTTGACACTGACCGGCTAAGTGTCCTTGTTCCTAGATGTCTGTAGGTGTGGAATATGAAACACAGGGAAGCAGAGTTCAACTGGATACAGCATGGGGGCACGGAGGCAGCTGCTGCCCATTGCTATCCCAGTGGCAGGCCAGAACCCTCCTCTCTGGTCTCAGATAGTGGCAGAGAATTAGTCCTACCAGAAAAATGAGCACATTGTTCCTCTGATGTGGCTTCCAGCCTCTGAACTGGCTGGAGAAGGCTCTGTAAACCTCAGGTTGTGAACTTTAATTTCAGTCCTATGAATGATAGGGGCTAGGGCTCTGGTGGGACCTCGTCAGCAAGTGGCTGCTTTGGTAAAAAAAGGACATAACAAAAGTCTTACCTCTTGTGACAGGAAAGGCATGATCTGTGCTAAAATTGTGTTCAGTCTCTTTGCAATCTCTGTCTGCAAAAGAAAAGAGACCTCATGAAGTTCAGGCAAATAAATCACCACCAAAATGTCAGACAAGTGGAGGTGCAAACTCCCCCAAACCACAGACCCTCCCACTGGCTCATCTCCACCCTCAGGAGCCTCTTGGCTAAATCACAGCATGAAGAAATCTTCCAACTCCACACCCACTCTGCCTATATTCTGGGGATCTCCAATTCTCTGTCAGAGGTGGTCCAGCTGTCTGGGTCAGAATATAGTTTGTCTCCTCTGGATGAAAGCCCTAATGAAAAACAGAGCAACACAAAACAAGAATGACCCCCCCCCCCAAACACACACACACACACACACACACACACACACACACACACACCAGCTTCATGCAAGGTGATGTGTGGCTTACAGGGTCTCCTGCACCCCCACTTTTCACTGCTGCCTCTCCCATATATGTGCTGCCCTGCCCAAAATCTCACCGTTAACACTGTATTTTTTATGGTAAAGTATCTCCTTTCCTAGAAGCTGCTCAGGAGGGAACTCTTTAGATCCCTAAGGCTTCATTGAAGTTGATCATAGAAAAGCTTATCGATTCCCTACCCCACCTCCTAACACTCCAGAAAACACCACATTTAGAAAAACACCAACTGGTTTTGCCACCCATGTGCTATATGAATGCCAGATAGAAAAAGGTTAAAAGAGAGTGGTGCTAAATGGTTAACTGAGGCCAGACAGGGAAGGCCTAGTGCTAATAACAGACAAGTCTCACAATTGCTTCTCTTATCTCCTTCTAAATCCTAAGGCCACTGAAGCTGAGGCCCCAGTACTGGCTTCAGAGCTCTCATCAGCACACAGCAATCTTCCAGAGACAAAACCATGACAACAGCCTTTAAAAATCTGCCATCATCTGCATGTCAAATGATTCTGGATGAGAAATCCTTGTGCACTTAAAATAAAAGCAATGCTGCTTGCTGGCTTACAAACAGACTCTGGACCTCTGGAGAATTCCTGGGGCAAATACCCCAACCCAGACACTGAGGAGGACACCTGTGGTTTGTGAGGAGCCAGCCATCCATTAGGAACTGACAGGCTTTTCCAGCCTTGTGTCCTGGAGCTGCTGGCTACAGTGGCAGGCTCCAAACAGGGAGCCTACACATCCATGAGTGCCTCCTGGTTGGGGCCAGAGACTGCTCCTGTCTCCTGGACACTCCAATGCTCAAGAGCAGGGCCAGGGTTTGGCACTATGGGCATCTGGGGTGGAATAACTCTTTATTATGAAGGGCTGTCCCTTGTATCCCAGAGCAACTGAGTGTCAATAATAATCCCTACTTCCAAACTTCCAGGGTGATGAGGGAGTATCAAGAACCCGTAGCCACATCTGCACATTTGAGGCACACCAACAAGGACATTTTTACACCAGGGCTCCTCAACCTCAGTGCTACTGACATTTGGGGCTGTCATTGTAGTTTTCTGTGCATTGTAGGGTTTTTAGTAGCATCCCTAGCCTCCACCTAGTAGATACCTGTCTCTCATAGTGTAAGGAACCTGGAAAGATTACTAAGTAATTATTGTATAAATTATTTTTTAAATAAATCTTTATTGTTCAGATTACAATTGTTTCTCTCCCCCCCACCCTATAGCTCCCCTCCACCCGGTTCCCACCCCACCCTCTGCCCTTACCCCCCACACTCCCGTCCTCATCCATAGGTGTACGACTTTTGTCCACTCTTCCCGCACTCCCACACCCCTCCTCCCGAGGATTGTCAGTCCACTCTTTTTCTATGCCCCTGATTCTATATTGTATAAATTACTAATCTGAAGTGGGTAAGTGGGAAGAGTCGATCCAAAATAGGGTTTTTTTTTTTTCTCATTTCTGTTCATTTTTTCCTCCCCCAAATCAACTGATAGTGGGGAAGGAGAATGAAGTTTGAACGTCAGGGCTGTTTATGGCAGGAGTTCTAGAAACAATCAGCCAGCCTGCATCCCTGTCCAAAGCTGCATAGAGCAACAAGGTCACTCAATGGTCATGAATCTCACTAGCCTCCCTGTATTTATTTTTCAGTAGCGTAGAGTGTCCCCCTCACCGCTGACCTGGGCCTGACCCAGTGTAGACAGCATCTGTGGGAGAGACCGGGTGGATGAAGTGTTGACATATTACTGGGAGGTGGGGTAGGCAGCAGCCAAGCCCTTTGAGAGCCACACCAACCACAGCAGCCTTGGTGGGTCCTGGCTGTGGCCCCTCCCCACAGCCAGCAGGCCAGCAGTAGGCTCTGAACTTCCGGGTCACTCTGGCCTATTCAGCAACTACAGCTCTCACCATCTCTGGGGTAGGTGGTTATGAAAGGGTTCCCAGCTATTGCTACTTCCTCTAGCAGATAGGCCAAGTGTCAGGGTCTTGGTAGTTACAGGAAAAAGTAGCTGAACTTCCCCTTCCCCATGCTCATCAGCTAACAAGCAGCTACAGGCTTCCCCTCCTGGGATCTTCTCCCCAGGCCTGGTTGGTGCCAGCGTCTTGTCTTCTCGTTATGAGGAAAAGGGAGCTGCCAGGATTTCAGATAGCTGTGCCCACTTCAAGGCTTGGCACTAGGCTGCCAGGTGACCACACAGTGTCATCAGAGCAAGTTCCCTCTCAGAGTTCCACCCCCCTGAAAGTGGTTTCTGCCTCCTTCACCTGTGTTCCAACATCACAAACAGGGCCCTCGGAACAGCCCACAGACACGGAATGTTCTGGCGGCCTGGATTTGGCACCCAGGCTCCCTCCTGGGCTTGACCTCAATGCAGAGGCCTCAGTTGTGCAGTTAGAACTTTGGTGCTCCATGAGACAAGACAGTACTGGGCTGGGCAGGCAGAGGAGGGTGGTCTTCCACCCCGAGGGCTTTATAATAAACCACAGCGCCCTGTCCCCAGTCCGGGATTTGTTGGGGTTGGGGAGAGCTGGGGAAAGAAAGTATAAAAACTGCATCCCTCCTGGCCCTTCTGGCTGTGCCTGTGCATCACCTGCTGCAGCAACATTCCCCTTCCAGTCTCCCCAAAGAGTGGACGCAGGGGTTGAGCCTTGTCCATCTGCACACATGCCACCAAACTCAGAGAACAGCGTGGGGTACTCTGGCGAGTCAAAGAATGAACAAGAAAACTATCCACTACGTGATTTTTTTTCACAATGATTTAGGGTGGTGATATGATAGCAAGAGGGCAAGTCCTGGAAATAGAAACTGGGCCAGAGAGGACCACTCTTAACAACAGGATAAACAACAACCGACATCCACAGTCACAGCTCTTCCAAGCATTTTATGTGTGTGAACTTATAATCACCCTAACAGGAAGGCACTTATTAAAATCTCCATTTTTCAGATGGGGAAACTGATGCTCAGCAATTAAGCAACTTCACTAAATGACTTCCTAGCAAGAAACCAAATTTCCACATTTCGAGAGAGCTTAGAGAAGTATTTTTAAAAGAAAAACTACCATCAGAGTTAATAATTGACAACATTTCTGATGAGAGCAGCTGTTAAAATAGCATTTTATCCAACTCAAACAACAGTTCAAGGAGGAAGAAAACAAAAACAAGATGTGTGATTTTAACTATCGGGATAGTCACCAGCCACACACTGGAAGGAGACCATCGCTGGGAAATTCCTTTTGGCAGCTCAGGGCAGTTATCACTCAGAACACCGCCCTCCATGCTTCCCTCCATCTCAGTCCCACCAAACCACCACCTTTGAGTCAGTCTCAGATGGGAAGCTGAGGAGAGGTGCCTACGGCAGAAAGACTGCTTCCTTTGGAAAGGGTGTGTGGGGAGCCTGATGCTGCTTTGAAAGTTTCTTTTCAAGTATGGTTCAAAGAAGGCGGCTTTTCTGGTAGGAAACAGTGCTGCTCGGAAGGAACTAATCTACTAGACAAGGCACTTCTGAGAAACGTGCACGGAGATCCTGAGAAGTTCTGGATCTGAGCTCCCAACTGGGCACTTGGAATAACATCTGCCCTGTGTCTCTGTCGAGATTATTAGTCAAATAAATAGGAAACAAGATAGTGGGGGGCAAGTGTAATTTCCCAATGAGCAATCTGCTCAATGTGCTTTAGGAGCTCCCATTTGCCCCATCATCTCCTCATTAAAGCAAGACCTCTAAGCATCTTGCTGTAAACTGAGGGTACTTGAGCATTCTAAAGTATATTTCTCTCCCAATACACTAGCATCTACTTTGCTGCTGTTCACCACCCCTGGGCCTTAGAACACTAAATTAAGAAGATGGAATCTGCTGATGGTCCTCACCCCCAGCAACCTGTTACCCCTGGCCTCAGCACCGAGCCACGCTTTGGCTTTTTTTTTTTTTTTTTTTTTTTTTAATTTAGCTGACTGCTCAAGGCACAGCTGACAGGCACTTCCATCAAATAGTCTCTCCACTATTTCGTTTTAAACTGCCAGGCAGTTGTACCAGTCAGCTCTTGAGAATGCACCCTTCTTTTTAACCTCAGATAAATAAAAACAAGGAGAGGGAGCAACCTACCACTTTAAAGAGCATGTTATGACTCAAGGGCACACAGAAATGACCTGGCTTCCATTCCCGGCTCTGCCTCCATCTAGCTGTATGGCTTTGGGCAAATCACTTCCCTCCACTGTGCTTCAATGCTGTTGTCTGTAAAACGGAGGATGAACTGGATAACTTATAAGATCCAGGAGCCACCACTTGAGATTAGAATACTAAACATTCTTGAACTGCTCTATGACATGTCACTTTCTCCATAAAACTCAGTAAGATAGTGCATGGCAAGAGTTTGAAGGACGAGCAAAGAAGCAAGCCACCTGGAGAGGTGGGTGGTTGCTAGGTGGTGGGCTAGGCTGGGGCTCAGTCCCAAGAACCAGTCTTTATAGCAGGAACCATTCAAATGTGACCATCAGTGAAACTGCACCCAACTGCCAGAGCACTGATGTCCTAAATCTCTCCCTGTCAAGCCACAGTATGGGTTCTCTGCTTCACAAGAAAAAACTGGTTGTGGGCTAAAGACAGCCAGGCAAGACCGCCAGG